GGGAGGCGGCTCGACGTGCCGCCGGCTACGTTCGCCGGTGGTGCGGTGATGGACTCAGGGGCGGTCGTCACGCAGCTGCCACCGTCGGCATACGCAGCGCTGCGGGCAGCGTTCACGAGCGCCATGACGGCGTATGGCCCGCTTGCGGATCCCGTACGCAACCTTGACACGTGCTATGACTTGACCCGCTTCCCCGAGGTCAATGTCCCTAAGGTGTCCCTAGTGTTCGCAGGCGGTGCCACCTTGGAGCTCGAGCCGGCGTCCATCATGCTGGACGGCTGCCTGGCTTTCACGGCCTCCCCTGGCGGCCACGGCTCCATCGGATTCATCGGCAACGTGCAGCAGCAGACCTACGAGGTTTTGTACGACGTCGGCAGCGGGAGCGTGGGATTCCGCAGTGGCGCGTGCTGATGTGGCAAGCTGCAGGCCAACCACGGCCACTTGTACGTGTGATGCATGATTGCCCCCCTAATATATATCTGGGGTCTACAAGCTAGCTTGCTCATTGGGATGGAGCTAGTTTGTGAGTATAAATAAATGCAAGAAAGAAGATTGATGTAATACTTATATATGCATGTAATTTTATATAGTTTTATATATGCATGTAATTTTGTTCAACGGTTGTATGATTGTAAACCTTATAATATAACCTTACAGATTGTCAAGGAATTCAACCGATATAATTACTCTACTTATTGATGTGCAATAATGTAATATGACTATTAAGAAGCATTCTGATTGTGGAGGTGGTTTCGCACTTTTTACTACAACAAAGGTGTTTGAAGGATTCCTCGGCAGAAACTAGAACGCACTCCTTCAATAATTGACGAGCTAATTGGTTGTTGAACTTCAGACAAAGATTGGCCTCACCAGCTCATACGTGTTCATGAGGCGTGGTTTTTTTCTTTTCTTGATTAATAGTATTTGTTTTTGGATGCTTGCATTGTAAGATTTGGAAGCGTTCCTACTCCTCGATGAGGAGCCGCGTTGGTTTATATTGAACGAGGCAGAACAGCCCTGCCGTGGCTTACAAGAAGAGGAAACTGATCGCAAGGATTCGGTTGTAAGGAGGACTCCTAAACAGCTACGCGAGGGAGAGAGATAGAATAGAGTTGAGATTACAATGCGGAGATAAACATGAATTCTAACACCCTCCCTTAATCTCAACTATTCTATGTTTAGATTCCTCTTGAACTCTTCAAATGGTTTTGCTGGTAGTGCCTTGGTGAACCCATCAGCCACTTGATCTTTGGAAGGGATGAAGCGTATCTTAAGTTTCTTTGCTGCAACCCTTTCAGGCACAAAGTGAAAATCAATCTCTATATGCTTGGTTCTTGCATGAAACACTGGGTTTGCAGACAAGTATGTTGGTCCCAAATTATCACACCATAAACATGAGATGCGATTCTGCTTGCCCCCATTTCATCCAGTAGTGATTCAATCCAAATGATTTCTGCAGTGGCATTAGCTAAGGATTTATACTCAGCCTCTGTACTTGACCTTGATACAGTGGCTTGTTTCCTAGCACTCCAAGAAACAAGATTAGGCCCAAAGAACACTGCAAAGCCTCCAGTTGATTTTCTATCATCACTGCAATCTGCCCAATCAGCATCAGAGAATGCACTCACAAGAGTAGAATTAGAGCGTCTGAAATGCAGTCCTACTCCCATAGTATGTTTGACATATCTTACAATTCTCTTAATAGCTGTCCAATGTGCAGTAGTGGGTGCATGCAGATATTGACAAACTTTGTTAACAGCAAATGAGATATCTGGGCGAGTAAGAGTCAAGTACTGTAATGCTCCAACAGTACTTCTATACATTGTGTTATCTTCCTCGTGAAGTGGCTCACCTTCATATGCTGAAAGTTTCTCTGAGGAGGACAAAGGTGTAGGTACAGGCTTGCAGTTTTTCATCCCCATACGACATAGAAGCTCAGTAACATATTTCTCTTGTTTTAGTACTATGCCATCTTGAGTCTTCTTAACATCAATGCCTAGAAAGAAGTGCAAATCACCTAGATCTTTCAAGGCAAACTCTGAGCTCAAATCGTGCAGAAGAGCATTAGTAGCACTTTGTGATGAACTTGCAACTATGATGTCATCCACATATATGAGAACAAAGATAACTACTTTTCCCTTGTTATAAATGAACAAAGATGTATCAGCTTTGGAAGCAATAAAACCAAGACATTTCAACTGTGAGCTCAACCTGGAGTACCATGCTCTAGGTGCTTGTTTCAAGCCATAGAGTGCTTTGTCAAGCTTGCACACATAATGTGGTGTTTTCTTACTCTCATATCCTGGTGGTTGTCTCATGAATACCTCCTCTTCCAGAACACCATGTAAAAACGCGTTTTGTACATCTAGCTATCTCAAGCTCCATCCCCTGGACACAGCAATAGCTAACACAAGTCTTATAGTTGCAGCTTTTAAAACCCTTTGCAACTAGACGTGCCTTATATCTGTCAATGGAGCCATCTGCTTTATTTTTAATTCTATACACCCACTTGCAATCAATAATATTTTTACCTCTCTAATCAGGCACAAGATGCCAGGTTTTGTTCCTCATAAATGCAGAATATTCCTCATCCATTGCTTTCTTCCATTTAGGGTCACCAAGTGCATCATTCAGTGTCGTTGGTTCCCCTGAAATACATAGCATGCCATACCGTATAGTACCATCAGTTCGTATTTTGGGATTACGTATACCTTTTTGTAACATGGTCATAACTCGCAAGGGAGCTTCTTGTTGCATGTGTACAGGAACAGGATCCATTGGCGCAGAAGATCCGCCTCTTGCTACTGAATCTGTTGGTGATGCAGAAGATCCATTGGACACTGGCGCAGAAGATCCAGTGGACCTTGGTGTGGCCCCTGCCACTGGATGCTCGGGAAACCATAGGGCTTGCAGGCATAGACGATCCGCTGCCAGGTTGCATGTGCGCGGGATGCAAGGAGGAGCCGACCGCGTGGCTGGTCCCGCTGGGCCCGTTATCGGGTGACGCGTCAGCGTGGGAGTGGCCCTCCCAGGAATCTGGGCCGCTTCCGCCTTGGACGCGATCCAAGAAAGATATGTGCGCACAATCCGAGGCCTGCAAGCGCGTAGGAGTATCAAGGAATTCAACTGATATGATTACTCTACTTATTGATGTGCAATAATGTAATATGACTATTAAGAAGCATTCTGATTGTGGAGGTGGTTTCGCACTTTTTACTACAACAAAGGTGTTTGAAGGATTCCTCGGCAGAAACTAGAACGCACACCTTCAATAATTGACGAGCTAATTGGTTGTTGAACTTCATGTTGAAGATATCTCATGTAGGTCCAGGCCGGCGCATATAGTCAGTTGAGGAGTTGGTTAGCTTAGAGATAGACTATCATCTAGTTAAACTTTTGTATCTCTATCTCCTAATCTCTTGTACTCCAAGTTATGTATGTGTACATGGGATAATCCCCATCTCAATCAATAAATACCTGCGGCCCTCTCTCGTGGAGGGTAGAATGCTTCCGATAGATTTCCTATATGGTCATCAGAGCTTTCTCTTCCTCCTTGTCCAGAAACCAGAAAACCTAGATTGTCGTCCTTCCCACCATGTCGTCCTCCTCCAACCCCCCGACTCTCTATGGTCTTGGTTCCCAAATCAGCGAGAAGATCACCCGCGAGAACTACCTGCTGTGGAAGGCACATATCCTCCCGCACTTCCTTGGTGCCGGGCTCTATGGCTATCTGGACGGCACCATCGTCGAACCAGAGAAGCTCATGGTCGCGAAGGACAAGGATGGAAAGGATCAAGCGGTCCCCGATCCGGCGCACGATGCTTGGGTGCGGCAGGACCAACGGGTCCTTGGCCACATCATCAACAACCTCTCGAAGGAGGTGCTGGTCTCGGTCATCTCCATCGGCGCGAGCTCTCTGGACATCGCTACTGAAAGATCGTGGATGTCGCCTAGAGGGGGGGTGAATAGGCGTTTTAAAATAATTACAGTTTAGGCTTGAACAAATGCGGAATAAACCTAGCGGTTAATTTGCCAAGCACAAAACCTAAAACAACTAGGCTAACCTATGTGCACCAACAACTTATGCTAAGAAAGATAAGCAAGTATGTGATAGCAAGATATACGACAAGAAACAATATGGCTATCACAAAGTAAAGTGCATAAGTAAAGGGCTCGGGTAAGAGATAACCGAGGCACGAGGAGACGACAATGTATCCCGAAGTTCACACCCTTGCGGATGCTAATCTCTGTTTGGAGCGGTGTGGAGGCACAATGCTCCCCAAGAATCCACTAGGGCCATCGTAATCTCCTCACGCTCTCGCACAATGCAAGATGCCGTGATTTCACTAAGGGACCCTTGAGGGCGATCACCGAACCCGTACAAATGGCAACCCTTGGGGGCGGTCACCGAACCCGTACACTTTGGCAACCCTTGGGGCAGTCACTGGTACCCGTCAAATTGCTCGGGGCGATCTCCACAACCTAATTGGAGACCCCGATGCTTGCCCGGAGCTTTGCACCACAATGATTGAGCTCCGAACACCAACAACCGTCTAGGGCGCCCAAGCATCCAAGAGGAACAAGCTCAAGGGTACCAAGCACCCAAGAGTAATAAGCTTCTCAACTTGTAACTTCCACGTATCACGTGGAGAACTCAAACCGATGCACCAAATGCAATGGCAAGGGCACACGGAGTGCCCAAGTCCTTCTCTCTCAAATCCCACCGAAGCAACTAATTCTAGGGAGGAAAATGAGAGGAAGAACAAGAAAGATAACACCAAGAACTCCAAGATCTAGATCCAAGGGGTTCTCCTCACATAGAGGAGAAAGTGATTGGTAGAAATGTGGATCTAGATCTCCTCTCTCTTTTCCCTCAAAAACTAGCAAGAATCCATGGAGGGATTGAGAGTTAGCAAGCTCAAAGAATGTCAACAATGGGGGAAGAACACGAGCTCAAAGGATAAGGTTCATTGGGGAAGAAGACCCCCTTATAAAGGAGGGGGGAAATCCAACCGTTATGTGCTCAGCCCGCACATGAGCGGTACTACCGCTCAGGTAGAAGAAACAGGGAAAAGGAGCAACAAAACATGAACCTTGGGGCGGTAGTACCGCAGGAGACAGCGGTACTACCGCTGGGTTAAGCGGTACTACCGCTCCCTTTGGCGGTACTGCCGCGCAGAACGAAGGGGAAAGGGAAAGAGGGAACCGGGCGGTACTACCGCGGAGGAAGGGCGGTACTGCCGCACTACTGCCGCAGCGAGGTACCGCACAATCCGACACAGAAAAAGACCCCTCGAATCGACGCAGTAGGGACCTGGTAAGCCAACGGTAGTACTGTTGCGGAGTCACCACCGGTACTACCGCTGCGGAGCGGTACTGCCGCTTGTGACTCCTCAGCAGTACTACCGCTG